GCTTTTGTGCTTTTCAGGCTGAGAAAAGGTTTCACTCTCTCTGCCATCCGGAACTCAAAGAGAAGAGGATCTTGGCAGTTTTTAGCACCTCTCGGGGGGTGTGTGTGTAAAAAAAAAGTATCTGTTTGCCAAAGTACACCAGGGATTCTTCTCGCACACACACACACGCACACACACACATGCACAACTCAGACATTTGGGAGAATGTAGGTGACAGCTCCCCCATAAGGTGACTCGGAATTGCGTCCTTATGGGACAGTTCACAAGTGTGAAATACAGTGATAAACCTGATCTTGCTTTGAAGTGCTATGGTGGGGTTTTTTTAACCTGAAACCTACTTTAAAATAATGATAAGGATAATAATAATAATATCACATGTCTAACCTCTACCAGTTCTGTGTGGATGAAGCTGGTAGGTTGTAGCGGGAGAGGAAAATCGCTGCAAATCCTGGAGCAATTGTCTGCTTTATTTTATTTAGCTGATTTTTTTTCCTTTAATGCTTAACTGAAAAGGTAGCCTGGCGGCTTAGAAATATAAGCAGTGGTACATGCTCTCTTTATTTTGGTTAGTTGATTTTTAAAGAAGTTCAGTTGAAACCGTTCTCTGAGCGGCTTAGGAATATAAGCCCCGATCCAATCTTTTCCCTTGAATGTACACTTTAAGAAGCATGGCATGCAAGGAAAACGGGATGGGGAGGGAGGAGGAACAAAATAGCAAGCTCAAGCCATCCGTTCTTCAAGCCTCGATCCTTATCCTAGTGGCTGCTGGCAAGATCACTTTTGGGGAGCTCTTTTCTTCTTCTAGCTCTGGAAGTTTGTGGAAATTGATCTCTGCGTTAAAATATCAGGGAGCTGAAAGGCTGCCCAGATGCTTGGAAAATCCCTTTTGTTCTGCTCTGGGGTTTTATGTTGCCCCTTTGGGCTGTGACCAATGGGGGAAGTCCGCTGATCCCCATTGAAATGGACGCCCTGTGCCTTATACTGCCTTGCAAGGAAGCGTCTCCAAACAGTTCTTAAAATGTTTTGCAGAGCAGAGGCCAAAGTGATTTTCAGCATCTGCCATGCAGTACAATGATTAGTGCATGCTCCCCTCCCCTTCTTCTTTGCACATTTTAGAAAGGAACTTTGCCCAAGGAATTGAAGGGAAACCAAAGGACCACTGAAAGAAACCATTCTTCGTCTTTTTTTTTTGCTGCTGTGATGGGGTTGATCCTCCCCTTTCCTTCCAGGAAATGTCACAGCTGGGTCTTCGGGGGAAAGAGAATCACTGGCTCTTTCTTGAGATTAGGGACCTCTAGGAGGGTCATTCCAGGACCATGCCCGTGGCAGGAGGCAAAGCCAGCTTCCTTTCTTTTTTTCAACAAGCCAGAGAATCGTGGTTTTCTTTGCGGGGATGCGGCTTGGATGCGAGGGAGAGTTGGGGAACAGGAAAGCGTAGTCAGATACCTCTCCCAGTGGGGAAATTGGAATGGAGGAAGGGCAAGCCAGCTTTCCTTTCTCTGCAGTCTTCAAGAAAATGGTGGCTTTGTTGCTCAGAATGAGAGGACAGAGGCTGAAAAAATGAGAGGCGTTATCTGCCAGGTAGCACACCAGAGGAGGTATAATGGTATATGGGAATGACCTTGGGAGCCGGAGCCGGAGGAACAGTCGGATAAGAGGCAGCTGAGCCCTCAGCAGGAATGTGGGCCTGGTAAACATCTCAGAAGGGACCCTCCCTAGTTTCTTGGTCTGTAAAGGTGAGGGGGGAAGAGAGGTACTTTCAGACTTGCGAGATTCTGTTAACGTCACCTTACAGTAAAGTTAGAACTAGCACTTCTGGGCGTGCTTCTTGTCTGGACTACCTCGCAAGGCTGACAGGAGGAGAAATAACACCTGCCTCTCTTAAAAGCAGGGCTGGAGAGTGTTAGCAGGGGCAGAGATGGGGTTTCCTCTCTGCTCAGAGCGAGAACAAAACTGTGAATTAGAATCCATGATCATTTCACATATAGATGCAATTCTTTGGGTTCCAACATAAGCAATCCCATACCGACTAAATTTGCACATGGAACCAAATCACCCACTCTCGGTCACCCATTGCTCTCTATACCAGTGTTTCTCAACCTTACCAACGTTAAGATGTGTGGACTTCAACTCCCAGAATTCCCCAGCCAGCCAGTTAAAGTCCGCACATCTTAACATGGCCAAGGTTGAGAAACACTGCTCTAAACCAACATGTGATTTGGCTGCCTTGAGTCCTGGCTCAGCCACCATGGTTTGGAAACAGAGATGGCTGAACAAGCAGAGGCAATTAGTGGTCTCCCGACCCTAGGGACTAGAAACTTGGAAAAGACCAAAAATGAACGGAGATGTTACTTTCTGGAGATCTTCCAGAGAGGGGGCAGGTGTGAGCTTGGGCACAACGGCTGCCCTTTCTTGAAGAGCCTATCACCCTTGAACTGTCTGTGTTCTCGAATATCGTTCTTCCTGCTGAAAGGGTAGCTCTGATCTGATGGAAACTGCAAACTTCTCAGAATAGCAAGCCAGAACAAGCAACGCCTTATCAGTGGCAGAAAATTTGGCAGGGAAGGGCCCAGCCCATACAGCTGTTCAGGCAGTTTCTCAAATCACCAGCTGGCGGGTTGCCTTCTGACCTCTCTGTGCCTCTGAACCCTTGTATTTTCAGGATCAATCCACAATGCCAGAGGTTAGAGAGCTCACCGATGCTTTGCCCAACGTGCCCATGGACCCCATCACCGGCGTCGGCGTCGTCGCCTCCCGGAACCGAGCCCCTACCAATTACGACGTCGTAAGTATGAAGTCAACCCAACCATTGCCTGAATTCTTGCCTTGGTTCCTTTCTCCTTTTTAAACGCCCCTTCATGTTTGTATAATGCAGCGTTTCTCGACCTTGGCCACTTGGAGATATGTAGACTTCACCTCCCAGAATTCCCCAGCTAACACATGTGGACTTCGACTCCCCCCAATCCCTTCCCTTCCTTGCGGGGGGATATGGGGGGGGAGGGCGTACATATACCACTATGCCATCGGCGGGGAAAAGTTCCCTGATATA